CAATCACGAAAAATCTATTTGTCATAACTTTGATGTATTCATTGGGTTTCATCTTGAAATTCTCGTAGCTATAGTTGAGAATACTTATCTTGGTTTCCCTCACTTCATCGGTTTTTTCATGAGTGACTTGGAGCTTATCCCATATTTCCTTGGCATTGGAACAAGAGGAGACACTTTCATATTCATCCGGGCCTAATGCACAAAAGAGGATGTGCATAGTCTTAGCATTAAGTTGGAACTTCTTCTTCTCTCTATCACTCCAATCATCCATCTCACCAGGTAGAGTAGAGTAACCCTTGATAATTGAGTTCCAAGCTCCTAGATCATTGGATTGAATGAAAATCATCATCATATTCTTCCAATAGGCATAGTTTGCTCCATTGAAATACGATGGCTTGTTGACTGGTTGAGAATCTTTAAGGCAGTAAGAACTGGAGGTCGAATCCATCTTTTATCGGTTGCATCGGGAATCAGTAGAGTTTCTTCTAGGATTGTATCAATGTGGTTAAACATTTTAATGAGTTAAGCTCTGATACCAATTATTAATATTTTTGAAGCTCAATTTAATCAACTAAAAATTACACAAGGGGGTGAATTGGAAACAAACTTTTATAGGGAATAAGGAGAATAAAATATAGAAAAATATACACATCGATTTATAGTGATTCGACTTATAAACTAATTCTACCTCCACTACCTTATCTCCTCACTAAGGATTTTCCAACAAATTCATTAATTTGTTCTTTCTTTTTCAAAGACAAAGAGATAACCTTTACAATACTCCAGAGCTTTTAATAAACTCAACTAGAACCAAAACCTCTTTACAAGGAAAAGAAATGTAAACAAAGAAAACCTCTAAAAGGTAGGGTGTTTACAAAATAAAGCTCACAAGAATAAAATATTTACAAGAGAAAGTAAAATAGGATTGAAAACTATTCTCTTGTGTTTGTTTGTTTGTTTGGACAAGTGTTCTAACCCTTCTTAAAGTGTATTAAACTTGTATTTATATATTGGAATGAGTTTGTGACCGTTTCTAGCCATTGGGAGTGATTTGGAGCCGTTTGGGATGTTTTTCTCTGTAAAATAAAATTATCCAATATAGAGGGTATTGGTACTACCTTTGTTATTTTTAAATAAAACTAGTTTTTACTAGCCGTTGGGCTTGACGGTATCGATACTAAGCCTATGGTATCGATACTACTATGTAAAGTAGTATCGGTACCCCTTTGGGTATCGGTACCATTTTTGCATTCTAGAGTTTGAACAATGGTGGTAGTATCGATACTACCTAGTATGTATCGATACTTCCTTTACCTTTGGTATCGATATCATATGAACATTATTAGTACTGTTAATGAGGTATCGATATTGTAAGAACAGTATCGGTACTTCTTGTCCAGAAAAACATTTTGTTCTCAATTCCAAGTTAAATGGACTTTGAATTATTTTTGAAAAGTTTGAATAAATTCAATTTAAGTCAAAAAACATTTTACCTTAATTCTTATATAAAAAATATAGTTCAACAAAAGTAGTCGTTGATGATGTCCCAATAAAGATTTTGGATCAGTTCGGTTTACAAATAATTCTCTGTAGTGTTTTGGTGATCTTGAACCTGCCCATATACCAAGGGCTCTTCTTCCGGAAGGACAGTGGTAAAATGCCTTCCTATGTAATGTTCCAGGCAATTGCTTATGCTATTTTGGCTTGCACAATAGCCCTGAACTAATTTTTATCATACTTGCTAAACAAGCTGTCCTTTTATGGAGATCAATATTAAGGAAAATTAGCATCAGATTCCCATTAAGATCAATTTGAAATACTATACTTTGTATCAATGTTTACATGTTTTTAATGTTTGATACCTTTTTTATCCTAACATGTTTGATACTTACATCTAACATATTGGATTTTGGGCATCTTGGGGGTGCTCTAACCTTCCCTATGTCTAACCGACTCCTGAGTCTGATCATCTCGGTGTATACACAGACTAGACTAGTGATAATTCGGTCGTACTTAGTCAAAACGACTGTGGTAACTATAACCACTTGATGAATTTACCTAGGACTCGACATATCTTTTCGGTTAGCCTATGGCATTATCGAGAATCAGAAGGGATAAAGAAGGAAGTTGTGAAGTTAAAGTCACAAGCTGAAGCAACAAAAATCTTACAAGAGGAAGTTGATAAGGAACTGAGAGCTGTAGGTTTTTGGTAGAATTATAATAAAAAAATAAAAAAATAAAAAAATAACCTTAATCATATGATGACGCGTGCCACTATCTAATTGGGAGATCAAATTTATTAAATTAAATTAAAATTATAGCCAAATTGATATAATATATAAATATTGAGGACTAAATGTGTAATTATAATATTTTTTAACAGTCATGTCACCTTCTCTATTAATGGTTTGATTGGAACATTTAAATAGTTAAGTGGTTTGATTGATAAAATTACAAAATCATTAGTCAAAATAAAAAGAGACAACAATTAAGTGGTCAAACAAATAATTTACCCTTAAAATTTGTTATAAATTCATAATTAGTTTATTAAACATTTTACGCTTGTCAATTGTCCTATTTGAAAATTTAAAAAACATAATCCATGAAGGTAGTAAATGAGAATGTTGTTATCTTTAAAGGTCTTGAGTTCGAGTAGTTGCGTTTGTAAAAATGTATATGTTTTTATCTTTAGATTTCTTAAGTTCGAGTAGCCTCAATCGTTCGTTTATTTATTAAAAGAACGAACATGAATAAGATTTTATGTTCTTTTAATTAAATGAATGAACACAAATAAATGGTTCGTTCATTCATTTGCGTTCGATAATCCATTCGTTTATGTTCGTTTACGTTTGGTAATTTGTTTGTTTATGATCATTTGTTTAACTAAATTATATTTATCTTTGTTTATTTATATTCTTTTAAGAATTTTTCTTGATTTAAAAGAAAGTTATATTTTATGTTCATTCATTTACATTCGTTTGCGTTCATTTATTATTTTAACAATTGAACATGAATGTACAAGAACAAAATCTCGTGTTTGTTTCACGTAATTCGTTTTCCGGAAAATGTTTTCTAGTATTTGGTTGGAGGAAAACTGGTTGGTCAACATAAAACATTTTATTGATTAAGAAATTTTCCTTTATGTTTTCTGGAAAATGACTTACGGTCTGATTTTTCGTAAGTCATTTTCCGAACTTTTCACTTCAAAGAATAAATACTCAAAATAATTTTATTTTATGAATTTAATATTAATAAATATTTTAATATCATTTTAATCAAAATATTAATTATTAAAATATTTAAAATATATTTATTAATATTTTTAATAATATAATATTATATTTTTAATATTATAATAAAATAATAAATTATATTATAATAATATAAGATATTATATTTTTATTTTAATAATATATAATAAATTATTAATAAAAATTATATTATTTATTAATTTCTTAGAAATGATATTATTAAATTATTAATAATGAATAATATTATTTATATATTTAATATTAATATAATAATATTTTAATAAAGATATTTAAAATATACTAATTAATTTTTTTAAAATATAATATAAAACTATTACTTTAATAAACAATTAATATAATTTATAATATTTTTATTTCAATAAAATATATCAATATTAATATATCAATATTAATATTTTTATTAATAAAATTATAAAAAATATTTAATAATAAATAAATTGTTTTTAATATTTTAAAAATAATAATATTAATTTTTATGATAAATAATATTATTTATTGTATTTAATATTTGTAATAAATAATTTTTAAAAAACTCATCAACTAGTGGAAAAATGATTAAACAACATCTTTCAAACATCGTAAAACGTTTTCCAGATATTTTTCAAAAAAATGTAATTCATTTTACGGAAAACATTTTCCAGAAATGTAATTCATTTTTTTGAATTCAAATTCCAGTAATTCATTTTCCAGAATTCAATTTCTAGAAAATCAATTACAACCAAACAAACAGACCCTATATTCCTTAATGAACGAACATGAACAAAAAATTATGTTCGTTTAATTATTCGTGTGTTTGTTTAAATTAAACGGAAGAACATGAATATACCCTCGTTCTTGTTCGTTTACAAGCCTATAGACGTCTATCTAAACTTGAATATAAATTTAATTAAAAATGTTTAATTATAAAATAAGTGTCCAAACTAGACTGCTTTTTCTAAATAAGTGTCTAAACTTTTTTTTTCCAATTCATCCAGATACATAACGTTACAAACATTATCATTTTAGGTGCCTCAATCGTAACAACTATTAAAAAACTCCGTTAAGTAACATGTTTCATGTACTAATAATTTTAAAATTTTACCTTTTTAAAAATTTAAAAATAAATTATTATATTAAAAAATATTTTTTAAATCACTTATTCCTCTCCTTCAGCTTGAAAGAGCCATTAGGCCCTCTGATGGTTCAATTACATGGCCTTATCTTCTCCGACAACTTCCTCTTTGTTCGACGAATTGCCCTCATTGTTCACATTCACATTTCCATCAACCAAAATTTCATTATATTTTTTAATATAATAATTTTTTTTAATTTTTTTTAAAAGATTTTCAAAATTATCAAAACATGATATATGTCATTTAAGAGAGTTTTTAACAACGGTTATGGCCCAGATACCTAAAATGGTAACGTTTGTAACGTTAGGCACATGAGTGAATCGGAAAAAAATAAACACTTATTTAAAAAAAATATAGAATAAACACTTATTTTATAATTAAACCTAAAAAAACTCAAATATTGATTAAATGTTTTTTTATAAAAATGTTAATAATTTTTATTATAGTAAATGATTTAAAATGTGATGACTTTTCAGAAAAGGAAAAACATAAGAAAAATAGAAGTTAAATTGCGTGTAGCAACTGTGTGAACCCGATTAAAACGACACCGTTTGGGAAAATGAGTTAAAAGAAAACCAAAGAAAACGACGTCGTTCGGCAAAAAGTAAGTATAAGATGGCCCATGCATGTTTCAAACCTACGATCTTTGCGTTATTAGCACAACACTCTAACCAACTGAGCTAATAGGCCGATATTTTAGTTTTGAGCTATTTTAACTTTATATCAATAAATTTTTATTTGGTCCCTCTATTGTTTAAGAGTTTGATTTTAATTATAAAATTTTGTAAATTTATAATTTGTTTACCCAACATTTTACGCTTCTGAAATTTGTCTTATTAATATTTGATCTCTACCATCAATTGTTCATTGTTAGTATGTTTTCCATACTACTTTCAAATACTCCATAATGAATTGTTTTATTATTTTTAATATATATTAAAATATATCCAGATATACTTAAACACATGTTTAAATATTATAAAATTAAGAATTAAACGCCCAAGAATTTATTTTATGAAATTAAAATTACATCTTTTTTTTTTACTTTATTCTAATTCTACCTTTAAATTTATTTTTTTAGTAACAAATTCAATCAAAATTATTAAATTTTATAATGCTAAGACAAAATATTAGTTATTCAACAAATATAGTAACCAAACTGAAAAGTTTTTATAGTTCGGTAAACCTAATAGAAAGTTATTTCAATTTTTTTAACAATTTCTACGTAGGGAGTGGAAGAATAATTTTTCTTCTAATAGTTATTGAACTCAAAACCTAAAGGAGGAAGAGAAATGTGAATTGAAAGTTTTTAACCATATGCACTAGAGAGCTACCTTCCGAGATAAATGAAAAGTATGATGTTGATCATATGTTAATCTATTATTTATCATTGATCCTCAGGCTCTTCTCAAAACATATGTAGGTCATGTGTTACTTTTTTTAAAATGATGCCCCTAGAATATTTTATAATAAGGTGAAGTTGTAAAATATCAAAATTTAAGAAGGTTGAAACTAGGATGAACATAAATAAGATTTTTTTTTGTCCGTTAAACACCACAAATTTGATGATTTTTTAGAAAAAATGATTATAATTGGATTCTTAAGATAAAAAGGTAGAAAATTAGAAGTTTGGTTTTTTTTGTTAAATTTTACCATGGAGGAATAAATTTTTTTCTAGGTTAGCATTTTTTTAAAGTGTAGGGTCCCCAAATTTTGAGATCCCATAACGTGTTACAAGCTACACTTGTCAATGAACAAATCTGTTGATCATCTATTATAATTTTTTCGCTTAAATTAAAAGAAGTAAATAGTTTATACTCACTGTAACTCAAATATTTTAATTATCAATAAATCATACAAAAAATTCTTCAAAGCACTAAATAAAAGTTATATTTTTATTATTATCATGTAAGCACTGACGGAGTGGAGTCAATATAGGATGAGGGGTGTCATTTGACACCTCAAAATTTTTAAAAGAAAAAAGTTTCTTATATAAATTGTTATATATATATAGTATAAATAAAAATAAATGATACCACTTTTAGAAAAATTTTCACACCCTTACAAAAGAAATTGACCTTATAATTTTAAATAAATTTATATAGTTTTATTCAAATATTATAATTTAAGACTACGAGACTGTAATTTAATTTTTTTAGTTCCATCCTTACACGTAAGTCTAAAGTATTCTTTCACAACCCTCCCTTCATTACAACCCTCACATTGAAGGGTCATGACTTCCATTTTGATAGCACCCAACGTCGCATATGCAACGCAAGAAACAAATTATGACTTCTTTTTTTGTTGCTCAGTCATGGATTTGGGACACATTGTTGATGACGACATTTATACAAAAAATAAAATTCTAAATAAATGTTTTTATAAAAAACATTAATATATTTATTCTAATATAACATAAGAAAATGGGAGTTCAATTGCGTGCAGGCCTTAAAAAGGAAGCGACGCCGTTTGGAAAAATGGGTTGAAAGACAGAGAAAGAAAACGGCACCGTTCAAGAAAATATAAAACAACTTGGCCTATGCAGGTTTCGAACCTGCGACCTTCGCGTTATTAGCACGACGCTCTAACCAACTGAGCTAATAGGCCGTTGGCTTGGCTTTGAACTATTTAAAATTTAATATCATAAAAAAAGTTGCTATCAGTTCCTAACCTTACGAGTTCTGTTTTTCAACCCTCAAGCATGATGGCTAAATGTTGATCCAAGGAATGGGAAGTACATGACATGTTGTTTGATGTACCGAAGAATTTCAATATGCAGCTATCACTACCATAAAAACTAAGCTGACAGTTCAGTTTGTATACATCAGTTTCGTTTTAGTTTGAACTCGAAAACATGAATTTCGCCTTCTAAATGATTCTGGTGCTTCTCTTTTTCAGGTGTCCTACTGGTGCGGAAACGACTATCACCTACCCGAAGTGGTACCGGGAGGTGATCTTGCTCGGTTACAACGTGGAGTGTTTATGATCAGCAATAGCACAGCCGTGGCCGAGGTTTACTCCCTAATCGACCACAAATTTGATCTCATGTATGTCAAGAGAGCATTTGTTCATTGGTATGTCGGTGAAGGAATGGATGAAGGTGAATTCTCCGAAGCACGTGAAGATCTCGTCACTCTCGAGAAAGACTACGAGGAAGTCGGGGCAGAAGGTGGTGAAGATGAAGAAGAACCAGAAGATTACTAGATCCATTTCATCAAATCAAACATCCCTGGTGTACCATGTACTTCAATCTCATTTTACTCCATCAGCTATATTTTCTATTGTTTTAAACTAGTCCCTGTACTTCATTTGAATGGCTCTGCACCTTGAAATGTTACCTCTCAACGTTTAATAAAGCTTCTACCTCGTGACATGACTTCGTTCGATTGAATCAGTCTCCGATACCGTTCCGTTTTTCTTAAATTACTTGTTTCCAGCACATATGCGGACATAATGCTCACCCGGACTCAAGTAACAACGAAATCAGTTGATTTTCATTAAAAACGTTTAAGTGTCTGTAAAGAGAACAGATAACACTATAACTAGAGCCTTATCCTCTTCTATCTTAATAGTTGGTGACCATCCAATGTTACCTCTCAACGTTTAATAAAGCTTCTACCTCGTGACATGACTTTGTTCGATTGAATCAGTCTCCGATACCGTTCCGTTTTTCTTAAATTACTTGTTTCCAGTACATATGTGGACATAATGCTCACCCGGACTCGAGTAACAACGAAATCAGTCGATTTTCATTAAAAACGTTTAAGTGTCTGTAAAGAGAACAGATAACACTATAACTAGAGCCTTATCCTCTTCTATCTTAATAGTTGGTGACCATCCATTGCTACTCTTGGTCTCTCTGGTATGTCCTTATCATTTAAAAAGGTTCATTTTGTAGGTCATGACAACAATTAGATAATTCAAGTTGCAGCAGTTTAGCAAACATAAAAACAGGTTACCATTAGTCACCCAACTTTCTGGCAAATTCTCGATTCTCAGGGTCGTAACCCCATCAGGTGTGAGCTAACTCCAAAACCCCGTCGTCATTTCGGGTTGCAGGCTGTCACTTGCCTTCATTAAGCTAGAATTGCTAGTAATACAGCCCGTTGGCCGATCATCACACTATCCTAAGTTGAATGCTATTGGATGCATTAATGGACTAAAAACTATTAGCGGTTGAATGCTAATGGATTGATTTAGAGAATCAATTTGAAATGATTTGAAACTTCTTCAAAGTACCCAAACCACATTAAGAGGAGCATAGAATGACTGTCTGATATATCATCTACATATACATATAAATAGAGAAAACTATCAATCAACCATTGTTTCAATATTCCTCCTATCCACATGACTCAAACTCAAGATCTTAAACTTCTACAAGGACCGACATTCGTTATAATTAAATCAGCATGATTGCTTAGACATTTTGTATTCAGAGATGAATGAGACCTTCCAAAGGAACAGTTGACATTTTACAAAATGGAGATCACTTCTAATCACTGCCTGTTATAACATGCAATTGACCCTAAGTCATCTACTCTCTTGATTTTACAAGGAGAAAAGGAAGCAAATACCAAATGAAGATCATGTTTTAGAACTCAGGAAAACAAAGAGCATAACGGTGGCAGATCCCACAATGCTTCGGTGGAAACATGGACGGTTTCGATACACTCTTGCAGTCTGTTCATAGCTCTCTCACTTGACAAACTAGTTATTTTGGTCCTTATTTAAAATTTTGGGCATTACATTTAATATTTCCTACGTGTATCTGACTCTAAAAATCTAATTTTGACTATGGTATAGAACACATGCCTCTAGAATCATATTTTCAAAGAGAATTTATAAAATCTTTTTTTAAAAAAGTGATTTTATAGGCTTTCAATCAGACATAATAAAAGCGATCGACGATGACTTCAACTTTTAAAATATTATTTTATCAAGAAGTATATTTTCAAATTGAAAAATGGATTTGACAATAGGAAAAGTAATGAAGTTGTTAAATTGGCATTAGCTATTTTATCTTTTTTTTTATATTGACTTGATTATTTTATTTATTTTATAAAAAAATATATAATTTTTTAAAAAAATTAAAATTATGTAAGAATTATTAAAATGTGGAATAATGTCAACACGTTACAAAAATAAAAAATTGTAAAAATATGAAAAATTGTTACAAATATCAAAACTGTAAAATTAAAAAAACATATAAAAGACTGTAAAAATATTTTATAATAGAAGAGCAGAAGAATAAAAATAGAACCATAAGTCATTGATTTCCATATAATATAAATCAGAAGCTACACACTAGCCTAAGATGTCAAGGAGAAAAACGAAAGTGCAAGTAGATAAATGGTATCCCGACTATAGACTATAGGACATTATTTTCTTGAGTTATCTTAATTATAGGATATTATTTTATTGAATCTACTGATTATTAAAAGTTACAAAATAGTCGCTCAAATATTCATATGTTTCAAACTCGTCCTTTTCTGTTAAAAAAATGACGACATTATGAGTTGGACGTTAATATATTGACTAAGATATGATAAATTTTGATCCCAAGATATCAAATGACTATCATATCTTAGTCAGCATATTAACATCCAACTTAGATTACTGTCAATTTTTTAAAGGAAAATGATAAATTTAAAACATATGAATAATTAAGTGATCATTTTATAACTTTT